GGGCGCAGACCAAGCAAGGCCATCAGCCTCGTTGGCTGTGATTGTGCACTCCTTGGTGCTCGCATCTTGTAGGCCGACAGGCCTTTGAACGATTCATGCACTGTATTTGTTATGGGAAATCGTTCTAGAATCGACAGCGTCTTGTATGGGGAGAGTAAACTAGTCGGGGTGGGGGCTGAGGGGGGAGGTCTCTCATTTCATGCTCCGGAGCTCCACTTCAATAGGGGCCAAGGAAGATCCTCCAACTCTCGCGTGGCCATCCATCAGCTTCAAAGCACCCGTCACGGCGTCGACGGTGAGGTTGAAGCTGTTCAGAGCGCAGGCCTGGCAAGATTCGGCCCCCCAAATCTTCACCCCTCCACTCAAGGTAGACACGCCTGGTTCACGGAGTAGCTGCTAGCCGTGCGTGGGACTGGGAAGCCCAGAGCTTCTCCAGACGAGGGCCTGTAGCCGAGAGCCATGGGTTTGACAAAGTAACTGAACGGCGTCGGGCTGCGCAGCCCTCCTCCAGTGACAGCATGCCACATTGGGGGAGATTCCCTGGTATTTCAGAGTGCCGCATGTGGCGTGGCGGCAAGTGTTGCCGCTGGAGTCTGTCCAACCAGGCAAGTCCACGCAGGCACTACACTTCTGCCCATCTGTGGACAGCTCGAAGCCTCCGGTACAGCGGCGACATGCCGTCCTGCTTTGGTTCATCTCCGCACATCCAGCACAGAATGTTTTGTCTGCAGGGCAGCACTCCTGTCGGTACTTCGACGGGCTGCTGGAGTCCGGGCTGAAAAGCGGAATCTCCGTGTTCATGTTGCAGCTCATGCTTTCCGCCATGAGCGACGTGTGATCCAGAACCCGCGTGCTCAACCCGGAACTGTTGGACCCCAGCCTTGTTTGGGCTTCACCAATCCCGGTTTCTGGCGCCTTTGGCACGGACTTCTGCGGCTCTGAAAGCTTTAGAGTCTTCAGAGGCTCTTTCCGACACAGGGCGAATGTGTCGTCGGAGGGGTTTGCCGGATGTCGCGGCTCTGGCTTGACTTTGCGATGCATCTGCTGCCTTAGACTGCAGGCCAAACCAACTGGAAGCACATGGAAGCACAGAGCTGTCACCGAGCTGCCTGGCATCCTTCGCGCTTGCCTTAAGGATGCTGTGCAGAGCATGCCTACAAGGCCCCGTCGACCTGCTCCACTCCGCGCCTGATGATTTTGGAGAACGTCCTGCGTGTCCTCGCATTGGCAGTGAGGGCACGCAGCAAGTTGTCCAAAATGGTCGCCTGACTTTGGCTGCTTGGATTCTCTGCAAGGTGTCGACACCACGAGTCTGGCTTGTTTGGGTTTTCCTGGTTGGGAATCCGCCGCCGTTCTTACACTGTGCTTTGCTTTTCCCGGGTAGGATCAGAGCTTGACCAAAGCTGTCGAGGGCAGCCTCTCGTGGCAGCCCCGTGTTTATTAGAGCTTGTTGGCTACGAAATAAGGCAGGGAGGGCGTGAGACCAGGGCCTGAGTGTCCCAGAGACAACTTCGTCACTAGCTGTAACAGAGTATCGACACCACTCAACGCAACGCTGTGGTGATCTAGGTTGAGCCTTATCCTGACATGATCAGCACCCAGTGACACACCTCACTGCAGAGATCTGCAACCTTTCCACAACTGTGCGGCGAATGCACAGACATGCAGAGGCGCTCGCAACCGCGCACGAGACGAGTCCTCTGCCATCTCCCCCAGGTGCTCCTTCCACTCGGCCCTCTCGGCCTCTCGAAGGGACAAACAAAAACCCAACAAAAGCGGATTTTTCTTTCGTTTTCAAAAGGGGCCTGGATCTCCTCCTCCAAGTTCGTCAACCTCTCCGCCATAGCCTCGGCGGGAAACTAGCTCTCGAATGTCGCGGTTTCCGGAACTCTTGTGCACTCGACCATAGGGGACGTCAGCAGTTGCACGCTGGTGCATCTGCACGATCATGGAAGCGGCCCTGTTCCAGGCCCGAAGCCTTCATGACATCCATCAGGCCCGCATTCGAGACATCCTTACCGAGAATGTGGTCTAAGTTCCGCAGAGACGATCTCGGACTTATCGCCTGCCTCGTGCAGAGAGGAGCCGCCCTGCAACGGAACTGGTCGCCGCTCGCTTATGGCACTTCATGGGACCTTGGCCTGCACCAGCTCTCGCTTCTTGCGCTGCAGAAGGGCAGACAAGTCCTGGCAAAAGCGGCAAGCGAAACGCGTTCCCCTCTGGAGTCATCGAGCCGAGCCCTATCGGGGACCGGACCTCTGTAGTGTTGGCGTCGAGATGCATGGCTGCCACGAGGCCCAGAAGCAACGTCACAATCGACCTGGGAGCTTCCAAGTGATCTATGAAGCAGCTATGAAAAGAAGCCGCCACACAATGCTGCATCATGCTACCAAAGGGCCAACAAGGCGGCACCATGACGTTGAACTTCGATGAACCACAACTTTGAAGTTCCAAAATTTTGGCTACAAAACAGCTATTACGATCCAAACAGAAGGCAGCGGTTCAGCTTCCAGTCGACATGAACAGGGGCAGTCTACATCTTCTTTGTGCCCACAGAAAACGGAGATTGGCACACGGAGATCATGTCCGCAACTCATCAACTTCGAGCTGCTTTTTTGCTTCTTCGCCTCGGCCCCGGCCGAAGCGGTCAGAGTTTCCTAGAGGGATCCTCCGTATTTCCCCTCCTCTTGATCCCCTCTCCCCAGTGAACCCCCCCCACCCCCGCTTAGCAGGGCACTGACCCCGTGCTGGCCGCTGACAGTTGTGGAATGGACCAGACTTTAACATGTGGGAAACGCAGATGCAAGCTCTTCCTGAAATTGAGCTGTCTACTCACTGGGGGGTACTAGTGGATCAAACTTCAATTCGGCCTTTGCGCGGAAAGCAAGCAAACTTCCCTGCGTCCTCTCTCTGTGGACCAGGTGGGGTAATTGACGGTCGTCGCTGATTCCGCTTCCCATTGCAACATTGTCTTGTCTCGCAGAGAGTGTGTGTGGGCACATTGATATACAACATCCTATCTACTTGGAGGGTCGGTGACTTAGTAAGTAGTCATGTTATAGACGTATAAGTGCCATAACCGAAATTAGGCTCCTTTTTGGGTACTTACAAGTCTATACCTATTACCCAGTCACTAAATCCCCCGACCCTCCCCAAGTAGTAGGGATTCTAGTGATGAGTAGACATCTCAACTCCTGAGCTCGGAATGGGCACTGCGGCACACTGTGTTGTGCAAGTCTTTTCTTGGGAGGTCGTTTGGCATCGGAATGCCAAGCAAGCTGATCCCCAATGAAAGGACACTTTCGTCAGGTCTGTTGGGCTCCTTGAGCCTTTGAGCAGACAGCTAACAGCTTGGCTGTAGCCCTGCACGAGCGTTCCCAGGGCAGCATGTTGAGAAAACTCGACAAACACGATGCTCGCGACGCATGTACTTCCTGTATACGTTGAGGCCAGAGGAAAATTGATCTCTCAAGAGCGACACTCCCTCGAAGCCTGAGCCTCAGGTACACGCGTCGAAGGAGGGCACAAACAATTGCATCAAGAACGCATCTCATTCGGACTCAGATCCGTAGCCCAGGAATGCACGGGTGCCCCTACTTTCCATGCCGAGCCCTTCGACTTCGCCGTGGATTTCGATGGCGGTGTCTCCGCTTTCTCGTTCTCGGCGCGTGATACGTGTGATATGGCGCATATGCATAATACCTTCTTTCACTTAAGGTCGTACTCAGGGTCGTGGTGCTCCCTGTCGACACACTGGTTGTGGTGGTACCAGTGGCAACCGTATTCGTCGTGGTGGTGGTGGTGGTGGTGGTGGTGGCGGCGGCAGTCGTTGCTGAGGTTGTTGTGTAACCCATATCTGAAGTCATGCTCCACAGAACGGGAGGAGACAAGCACAATGTGGGGACCGGGCTGTCGCAACCAGCATAAAGCCGACAATTCTCTTCACAGGCATTGGGGAGCACGTCACCACGCACGGAGATCGCATGATAAAACCCAAAGACTGTGCAGTTCTCCAACCTGTCACAGAACGTGCGGCAAGCCCTTTCGTCCTCCACCTTCAAAGCCAGAAGCTCGGATGGACAGTACAGGCCTTGCAAAAGCACTGGCTGTGTATAATTGCGCGGGCTTTGCTGCACGACAGGACCAGATCTGTAGTAGTTGGCGGGGGGTGCGACATCTCTGCAGACGGATTCGCGTTGGAACTCACAACTGTTGTATAAAGCACACTGAGAGCAGCGGCTTGCAGAAACAGCATTGCTGCTTTCACCGCCGTACCAGCCGTAGAAATTACAGCTTTCTTCGGTGGCACACACCTGCTGGCAAATTTCTCGGTTAAGTACCCGTTTGATAGTCAGCAATGCAGCACTCGCTCGACTCGAGGCATTGTAACAGTACAATCCTTCGATAGTCTCATCCCGCGTGAAGACAGGCATGCTGCAAACCAAGGGGGCCATGGCAGTCAGCACCAATCTCAGCAACATGACTACGTGAGTTGCTAGAAGCTGCCATAATGTTTCACGAGGGATGTCCACTGAATCTTTCGATTTTCGATCAAACGGAGATGAAGTGCGTCTTCTTGCATGTCTGCTACTTTCCGCTGGCACTGGCCACAATACAAACGTAGGCACTTGGTTGTCACAGGCTCTTTCGGAGAGGGCAGCGAGAAACCCTCAAGTCGACTCAGTCGACACGTCTCTTTCCCAGCCAACGAGGCCGTCGCAGTCACGGCCAAACGAGATCTGCTGAGAAGACTCGGAAGGCAGTCATGTGTCTGGGTCTAAGATTCTAAGAAAGAAAGCAGGCAGCTGCCTGGCAAAACCGCCTTAAAGAGTTTGCGTAGCGGGCCAGCTGCATATAGCTAGGTACACAATGGCGTTTTGCCAATGCGGAAACTGCGACAGGCCCACGCTTGGTAAGGACTGCACCCAGTATCTAGACCCTGGGTCAGTGAAATCCAGACCAGGAGATGCACGCGGCAGTGCTTAAAGTTGGCGAAGTCGTCAGACAAGCGGAGCCTGCTGTGAAATGGGATGGGCCGTCAACCACAGGTCATCCTCAATCTCAAGCACCAGCTGACAGTCCGCTGGAATGGCTGCCCCTTGAGGGATGCTGCACTTGTAGATGACATGGATCTCTGCAACCTCTACGGTCCCGTCGGGCGCCTCGCTTTCGCGGTTTTCGACCCCGACAACGATAAGAGCTGACCGGCCTGCATCCACTTGGAGGGAGAGGATAAAGACCAACTCAGGCAAAATTGCGGGTTCCACGCCCGGTCCACTAACCGGTTGCATCACACACTGAGAAGCACCAGGATATTGCAGTGGACAGAAGTCGATGCGTGGCATGTCTGCTTGTTCATCAATTGTGACTGCAAAATATCCTTTGTCTGAAGCAGTCACGGACTCGTAAGACTGGATGGGAGGCATGTTGACCACGAAGCAGGTCCCGTTGGCATGAAAGCAATGGAGCACTCCTTGATCATTGCCGCTTGGGTGCACGTAACCCGTGACGATCAAATCTTGAGTTGATGGCAGCAGGGAGATGCTGATGGGATACAGCGGCCGGTCCAACAACGGATGACATGGATCGCTGCCATCGGCTGGACATTGTAGAACATGGTCCGAATTGGCAGCCACAATATGGGGGCAAGACAGAACAGCCTGGAATGGAAAGTCCAGATCCTCACGGAGCACCGAGCAAGGGTTGTCGTCCGTGACTTGGCAACGGTAGACTCCGTTGCCCTCGATCACCAGAACATCAGCCTCTACCTGAACGGCATCCCGCAACTGTCCATTTCCGCCAACCTTACTTGCATCCACCACTTTAGTGCAGGAATCAGCCAAAGGCAGAGAGAGCGCTGACTCAGTCGAGCAGGCAAAGACCCCATTCTCGACATTCTGGCCAGAAAGCATGACCAGGAGGTCGGCTGTTGGCTGCTTCTTGCGCCCTGTTTGCAGAAGCGCTTGGGAAGCCTCCACTTCAATTTGGAAGACAACCGGAGGGTTCCAACACATCGACATCTCGGGGCTGTCACAGTCCGAGAAGATTCGGCAGTTCTTGTCGCAGGACTCCGGGTCCGCATCCTCTCGGACTTGTTTGTCCTCGCCAACAGATAAGTCAGCCTCAATCCTCCTCGAACCTCGTTTGCTCATGAAAAACATCAAGAGCAAGATTTTTAATGGTCTCCTTGTAGAAGGACATGTAGGCGCAGGCATCGAGACTCACACACATCTCCTGGCTCAGTGGGTCGGGCGAGCAGGGTCTCTGGAGGAATTCGGCTTGGCTTCCTCCCCAATAAGTAATAAGTCTGCAATCTTTCCTTCAGGAAGAGGTACCTCATCTAGCACAAGATAGATATTGAGGCAGCTATCTCTTTCCCTACATCTTTTCTAGGCAACGGGAACGGTGGGTTCTTGCACTCTTCAGATAGCAAGGCTTCGCACCGTTTGCCAAGCCAAAAAAAGCTTCAAGGGTCCAGCTCACTCACGCATGGCTGCGCACGGGTTTACGGGTCGGCTGCTCTCCGGCGTCTTGTGTGGACAGTGGCCGGCTGCCGAGGCGGCGCGCGGAGGCGTTTACGATTTCGGACAGCTTCGGGTGCTCTCTCAAGCAAAACCGTGAGCAGAGTCTCTGATTGGGCCCGCCTTGCAATCTTCGACGGTGTCCACGTCGACCGCTAGAATCTCTCAGGGCAAACGGTGGTTCGGCTGTTAAAAGCAGGATGCCATTGCCGCGGGTTCTAGAATAACGCAAAGCAGCTCCGAGATTGGTAGGAATCAGAAGGTCGTGGTGCCCTCTCCCTGTTCAGCTCCCATCACCTCGCCCTTAGAAGCGCTGGTTGAACTGCAGAGCTGGCCTGGCTGCCCTTGCAGAATTGCCCTGTCAAGCGCCAGTCCTGAGAGTCACGAAGCTTCAAGAAGCCATCTAGCTAAAGCGATCCCACTCAGAAAGCGCGGAACCCCCAATAAGGCATCAAGAATCTGCGGTGAACGTCTTCTCCATCAACGGCACAGCTGTGTCTGCAGGGGCCTTCACGAAGTTGTCTGGAGGGCTTACCTGCACGTGAACCAGGTACACTGAGCAGAACTTTTCCTAGTCACACAATGATTTGGAGTAGTCGCTTTTGAAGGTCATGGGCATGCAATTGCCTGACAGTTGTTGGACCAATACCTGTTGCAACCTTAAGCTGCAATCGAGCCACATCTCTGCAGAAAGACTCGCGCTGATGTTCGCACGTGTGGTACAGTGCGCAGTTGTAGCCTTAGTCATTTGCAGATGGGGCCTTCATGAGCCTTATCAGAGTCAGACTGATTGTCCAGCGATGCTTGAAAAAGCCAGGGGACAGCGGCTTCCCACTTCAAGCTGACTGTCGCCATGCCAGCCGTAGTAGTTGCATTCAGGATCAGTTGCACAAAGCTGTTCGCACACGTTGCGGTCCGTAATCTCTGTGATCGTCCTGTATGCTGCGGTTTTCCGTGTATCGGCATCGTAGCAGTACATGCCGTGCAAGTTGCTGTCGATGCTGAAACTAACAACAGCTTCATCGCCATCGCCATCGTTGTCAGAGTTTGTGTCGTTGACGCTGCCTGGGCAAAGGGGTGGAAGCTGGTTCACCTGACTGCGTGCACTTCGTAGGTGAAGCAGGCATGCAGCATCTTCATGCGCAGGTGGATACTCAGGTAGGGCGGTTGCAACCCAACCCAAGACCAATGGCACGGCTGCGATCATGATGGCACCCAGGATCTGTTCGGTGTTTGAGCCTCAGCGCCTGCCAGATGTACCGAACAGAGTGGAGGCATGGGGGCGTAAGTGCAGGCAAACCTTGAGCGCCGGTCTGTATTTTTCTCACTCTCCCAGGTTCAGAAGCGTGAACAGCACTGCCTGTGAGCCTCGGCCTCTCCCACGGCATTCGGGAAGCCTCTGCGCACAGGCCGGGCTGGCGAGCCCTGGCCGCCTGGCGGGGGCGGGCACCGCCGGTTGAAGCCGGCACAGGGATGCAAAGTGATCTGACGGCATTCTGGTTGTGGGCTGTCGAAGCACTGAGGAAAGCAGAGTGGGAGGTCAAGAGGTAAGCGGAGTCAAGGGCTGCACACTTGCACAGAGTTGACCAAAGAGGCAAGGTACCCGGCTGGCAGTATCGGGCTTCCGGTTGAAGTATCCTGGTTCCGTTTCTAGTCACGGCTAGTCACCCCAAAAGGAGAGGAGGGCACGCGCCAACTGGGCAGTCTCAGTCTCAGTACTCAGGCAGCTCTCGCTCTTCAGATCAAGAGCAAGAACTTGGCCCGAAACACACGCTCTGTCACAGCCAAACTACATCTCTGAGCCACGCACGGCCCGAATGCAGAAACTCCAATGCCCGGATTAAGTGTAGAACACGGCCTCCGGCAGATGACTTGCAAGCGAGCGTGAACAGTCATGTCAACAGCGAGGCAGCATCTGGGCGCATCGTCTTGACTTGTCAGGCTTTCTGTCGAAATTGAGTGAGAGCACCAGATATTATCTGCCTGCGCTTCGTGGAGCTCACCGCCGCGTGGCCTTGCTCCAGGCTTCTACCCACCCGTGGGCGCAGCCCCCAGAATAAGTTTTACATCCATGCGGCGCATGCAGATCAACGCTGGGCACCAAACATCATTCCTGGAAAGTCTCCTTCCCCATGTTCCAAAGCTCCGTGTCCTGAACACATGCATATGTATGCGCACAAATGCAGAGGTTTGCAAACTTGTCTCAAGCCCTCGCAGAGCTCTGACGGAAGTTGGGGTTGAGATCGCCACATCAGGTGGATAAGCACGAGGTTTTAGATAGAGGATGCAAGACCCAAACTAAACTCGTCCACCGATCTGCTCGAATCCCATACCGAGCCGATTGACCGTGGCACCCTAAGCTCTGCAACCCCCAGACCCGGTATACGCGACACTCTCCTTGAAGGTCACGCTCCGCGCAGGACCCGTCAACGTCGCCTCGCGGCCCTGGCTGCAGTCAAAGAGCATTTGCTTAGGCGTTTTCCTCATTGTCGTGTTGGGCTCTCCAGATCGTTGGCCTTTAGGACCGGGGCAAGGGGGGAGGCAAGTGGGCTGATGACGTCCTTGCTTCCATGCTCGAAGTCAATTCCCTGCCCCCTCCTTCGCCAAGGGCAGCTGCCAACCCGAGGGGCAGGATACGACGCACGGACAAGACAAAGGCCACTCGACACGTGACTCAACAAAGGCTCGGCCAAGCCTCCCCGACCCAAGCCTCAACATTTCACCATAATATCTAACCAGAATTCCTGCGAACAACAGCAAAACGAAATGCTTAACAAGAAAAAACTATCACAAAAACGACCAATGATATTCAGCAGTAGCACTTCACTCTAGTATTTAACAATGACATCTGACCGTCCCGTACTAGGGTCCGGATTTTCAAACCTACCTACCGTTACCTGAGTCTACAAACATACATTACATACGTACATACGTACGTACATACACACCACGACTACCCATTATGTAGGGGCCTTCAGTACTTTCAACCGGGTTCTAGGGTATGATACCGTATAGGTTTAGGGTTTAGGAACCCGCAAAACTGGTTTTGGTGATCATTCAGGCTTCTATGTTAGAGTAGTTCTCTAAATCAGGGTCCCTTTCACGGTCCTTTGACAGAGAGAACCCGCAGCTATATGCAGTTATGGCCCTTCAGACCGGGCATTTGGGGTTTCGGCTGTTGGGTTTTGTGGGCTTAGAAAACGCCCTCTAATCTCACTGGACCTGCGCAAGGGCTCCGCGGCAAAGAGCTCCGCTCCTCTGAGTTCTTGCTGAAGGATCTACTTTAATTACCATAACAAGGAAAGTCCGTTATTTCCTCTAGATCCCAGTTATGGTATCTTAAACTAAACCCCTAAACAAGCATTGGAAATCCTTAAGTCTTTATCTTGTCATTTGATAGTGCTCTGAAGCGTGAAATATATTTAGTGGTTTGGACTTGTCGAATCACTAATTTAGTGATGCAATAGTGATCTGATCCGTGAAACAATTAGTGATTTGGATTATCGAAACACTCATTAATTTAATGATTTAATAGTGATCTGATTTGTGAACTATATTTGAATCTATCAATAATTTAGTGATAGAACAGTGATCTGATTTGTGAACTATTTAGTGATTTGGAGATAGTCACTGATTTAGTGATTTAACAGTGATCTGATTTGTCAAATAATTGGTGCTTCGGATTTATCGAACCACTAACACATGGAAAAATAGTGAAACAAGCAGTGATCCAAATGGTGATCATTCAATGCAAGAAAAAAGTGGAGGGAAACACAGCGAGCTGAGTTTCCTGCATGAAGTGCTTAGTGCAAACAGGCGATCCACATAGTGATTACGCAAGGAGCGAAGAGTGGAAATAGTGAGATGAACAGTGCGAAGATAACGAGGGAACAACAAGCAGCTCACCGCTGTCCAACATTTCAGCACATCGCCGCACTTCTCTATCTGCTCGAAAACAGCTTGTGGCCGTAACGCGGGGCGTCTGCTCGGAAACAGCTTGTGGCCTCATGCCGCGATCTACACGAAGCCCTTTGCAAAACAACAGCAATAGGCGCATGCTGTACCTAAACCAATGGGTCTGCAGCCGCCCCACATCGCAGGAAAAACTGACACGGCACGCGCCTCGTGATCAGTCATGTCTCACGGGGAAACAGCGTGTGCGATATCCTTTTAAATCTTGAAGCCTGTTTGTGGTGGCAATGAGGGGAGAGTCGATCACAGGTTCACTCGCTAATTACTAACTATAGTTTAGGTAAACTAGTCAACACCACCTCGACTTTTGCCCGGCCTCCCAACCACCACCCTAGGGCCTTCCCACCGGCACAGAGAAACGGACCACAAGCCAATGACTGGAACACATACTGATTACAAGTCGCTACTATAGGTCCCTCTATGTAAACCAGATTGTGGGGTCTTAAAAATGCCTGGGAAAGGCATACACAAAACTGGATCATGGCTTTTGCGGCTCACAGCTCCTCGTGGCTGCCGTTCTTATTTATCTGCATAAAATGTACGATGTCCGACGAGGCATCCTGAACAAGGCTGGGGGTCTGCGAGTAGCCGTAGCTGCCGTGACCCTTCTTCCAGGACCACCAACGGGACCACTTCCGGCGGTGGTAACCCTGGTATGTCTTCGGCCCCTGAGTCGATTCCGGTTCCGTGGTCACTGGAGCAGTATTGGTATTCGTGCCATCCAGGAGCGGCTGGACCAAAGTGAAAGCGGCATCGTCAACAGCAAACTCCGAGGACTCGAGAATCGGAAACTCTTCGATCATGTAGCCTTCAGGGGCGCTATGCCCGATTTCGTGAGGACAACTACCGGTAGCAACCCTGTTTTACAACCCCCTTATGAGATAATTCAGTCTACAAAGCCTTCAGGGGGGTTTGTCCCGGCATTGCAGGCGGTAGCCAAAGCGACAGGCTTCCCGGCATCGTCCACCACCAAGTTCGGCCGCTCACATGACTCAAACTTTGCAAACGTGCCATCGGTGAAAGAAACGTTCTGGACATTGGCATCCCCCGTGTGGGTCCACTTGCCGAAGAAGTCAGTACTCCAAGCATGGGACGTCAAGTCTCTTTCCGATACCATATAATGGAAAATTGCATGAAACACGCCCTGCGAATCCTTCCATCCAAAGGGATCCTCAATCCCTTTGCTTACAAAGAGCTCATTGGCACCCCACTCTGCTGGTCCAGTGCCTTCATCAGCAAAGATATTCCTTGTCTGGAAAGTGTACTTTGTTTTGCAGTCCTCTGCGCTGCTGCACTTCCAGTGCGTTGCACTTGCTGTATGGATCACTGAGCAGAAAGTACCACCTCCGCCGGTGGGGCAATCTTGCCAGGAACGCCACATTGCCAGCAGGCTCCCGTTCGCTTGAATCTCAACCGGTGCGAAGTTGGTGTCGATAGTGTCGCCTGCAAAGGCTGCATCTTGAAATCCCGTGGCTGACGTTTCATCACGAGGATCGATGATCATGACGGGCTTGGACCAGGACGCATCGTCCCCCGGAGTAGTAGTCCAACTCATCCATGTCGGATCCGAGGAGGCTGTGTTCACACAAGATCCGAAAAGCGGAGCTTCATTTCCGTCAACTGCTGTTGCACCAGTGCTGCAGTCGCAAAGAAATTCAGTCTCAGGGGTGTAGCCATGATCTGACGAGAAGCCGCCGGTTCCATCGGATCCCACATCGGTGACTCCATCATAGATTCCGGTGAAGAACATCACCGTCTCCCCAGTGGGTGCCTTGATAACTTTGGGCTCATGGCACATGGGACCAAAGACCACGCCTGTCTTTGTGTAGGGGCCTTCTGGACTCGTGGCTTCTGTGTGAATGCACCTCGAGTTGGTGCCCCATGTGTTCATACCACACTTGTTGGCATTCTCTGAGACCCACATGTGGTACTTCCCGCTGTCTTTTAGCACAGCACCGCCCCAACTGGTGAAGCCATCTGGGATAGGCATGTAGCCCCACTTTGTCTTGTCCACCGGGGCCACGTCAAGCACCGAACATGCAGTGCCCGTCCAACCGGCGGTACACACGCATGCGCCCGAGACGCAGGCGCCGTTGTGAGAGCAGTCATCTGCGGTGGAGCATGCACCACAAAGGGTCACGAAAGCTGCGCATAGCAGTGTCAGCATTGGAAAGGGGCAAGACATGTCCATGATGCCGCCAAGCGCTGTGGCTTCTCAAGCTCCTGATCCTGAACAAGACAAAGGTCCCTCGGTTTGCTGTTGCAAATCCACAGAGCAAGCCTCGACACATACCGCCAACAAACCCTCACTCAAGGATTCCAGGCATCTCGTGTCAACCCGTGCTTGTGCTGCTAGACCTTCCGTCCATCCGGAACACCCATCGAACATCCTTGCTTGGAACACCACATTCAAAAAGCCGAGCAGCCAGGAAGCCTTGGAAAACGCCAGCCAGAAACCCCCCAGGCTCGGAGGCGAACAGTAACACACATCCAAAGAGAGAGATCCAAAGCACTGGCCGTATCTCTCCTTCATCCTGAACCCTAAACCCCAATGAGCCCAGCAAGTTGCAAAGTCGGCACCTGTTTCGATGGCATCGTCACCGCACCCAGGGCCGACTCCAATGTCCCGTCCTGGAACCCAGCATATTACAGTAAATGGTAGAACACGTGCCATCTTGTCAAATTGTAAAATTCAGACTCTTATCATAGTACACATTTACATAATACTGTATCATGTGATATATTATCATAAGGTATGACGAATATTTTGCACTATTATATTATATCATATCATGTCAGATTATATCATACTATATCATTGTATATCATATTAGAGAATATGGGCAACCACAGTGTAGCAAATAAAGATGCGGCAAATATCCACACTCCGATCCTGGGAAGGATACAAAGGCTATGCACGCCTTTGGGTGAACTTCAGCCACAGTAACTGCCACATGAAGTAGGATCTTTACTACAAACACTACAATACTACAAAGCTCCCCATGATGAGACCACAAATGCGTACTCAGCACATCCCAAATGGCTCGACACTCACCCTTGGGTTTGTCGTCCTTCTCATATGCCCAGCGAAACCGCAAAAGAAGCCTACCTGGGCCTGCTGGGGATAATGAGAATCCTATTATAGCTCTCGGAAACCCCGGAACGCCAAGAAATTGGTAGAGAGCCAACAACCCTCAAGAGCCCACGAACAAGTTCAGAGCAGCTCAGCAGATAGCATAACTTCTGGGGAGGAGGCATGGTGAAGCCCCGGAACGCACGTAGCCAAGAACTTTGCACCTTGGTAAACAGATCGAAGGTGACATGCAAGCGCCGGTCCAGGCACGGGTCTGACGGAGGAGGAGACGACGCGAGGACCATCACAGGCGGAACAAAGGCAAAACGGCCCCGGGTTTTTTTGTGCTGCACGGATGCGATTGACACCCTCAAAGTTGCACCCATGTCTGCAACATGCTGCACAGTTTAAGGCAACCACGAGTGCGGCATGCCTGTCAACGAGTGGGATAGTTCTTTCGAAACACGGTCTTGCGACAGCTAGCGGCTGCAGCCCGGCACTCTCCAAAGCCGGGGCAAGTGATGGCGACATGAAGTCTTGCCTTGTCCGCACTGTGGCTGGCTTATCAACCTTCAGGGACCCATAAAGGCAAACCTTTGACGAGCGTACGACACACCCGGCTTCGAGCCCGGAAGCCTGCAAAAACTGCGGAAGCCTGTTCTCCTCGTGCAGCCAGGCATGGCTCAAAGAACCAATGCTCTTGGTCTTCATCTAAGCCCTCCTCGAAATTTCACATAGCCGTGCATCTCACAAGCAAGAGCTGTGTTCGTTGAAGAAGTTCGCATCACAGAATACACAACCCGATGTGCGCGACAAATCGTGACCTGTGTTTGGTGTGGTATCAAAATATACCCAACTTCGTGGAGTCTCCGCGAAAGCAACCATTCAAAACACGGAAAATTGTCACATCTGGAAGACTTCTACTGTCTGTGTTTGAGCGTCTCAAAGGCCAGCTGGGCGAGAAAAAGATTCAATGGGTGTACCTCAGCGGTGCACCCCTGCGCCCTGAATTGGGCACCCTTTCAACTAGAGGAGTGGTCTTCCAAAAGGAAGTTTAAACTTTATGCTCTCATTTCACACTATGCTACTGCGTGACGGTTTGTTGTTGATATATTCGATGTGGCTCACCTCATCGAGCGTTTTGTTCTGATGACTGTGGTTGCCCAAGTAAAACTGAATGAATGATTTAGGTTTATCTTCCCAGTCCTTTCCCGAAGCAGGCGCATACTGATCGGCTGGCGAACAGTGTTGGTCTGTGCAGAGGGAAGGCACACACACACACACGCACACATGCGAATGGATCACAGGATAGCTGATAGCTATTGGCAGTTTCTTGAGCCAAAATTGCCGGGATGCGAAACATCGAACGATGTCCTCTCTACACTCCACAAAGCAGATGAGATTGGAAAGCATATGAACCACTCGCTGAACCACGGTCTGCGAAGCAGGCCAATGATGGTGTCATCTAAAACTCATGCCGCGACACCACGAATTGCACGAGGCATNNCCCCCCCCCATGAGTTAGACCTTAACCTTAGGTCTTACTCACATAGGAAGAGTGTCGCGACTTGACCGAAAAGCTTTGCACACTACTTCCGCGGCAACATGGGAAATGCTGTGTGTGCTTTGGCTTCCAATCATTGATGGCGTGACACTCGCCAACGTCAACGGCAATCCCCTGATGCGAAAATTGGGAAAGCTAGCCACTGAAGAACAGACAGCATATGACACTGTGTGAAGAACCGGCGTCATTGGCAAACGTGTAGTATGCGAAGACGTGCAAGATCACCTGGTCTTTTCGTTTTCCCACGACGAGAGTATCTTCGATCACGCCCGCGATCGCGTGCAGGTTGATCATTGGCCTTGTTTTTCCCTTTGCCTCTTCCTTGCCACGATTGGGTGGAGACCCGACCAAAAAAATTTTGCAGGTGCACAGCGTGCTGCAGAGAAGAAGCTGAAGCGGCAGTTCCAACGCCTCCGACAATGACAGAGTCCAGTCCAGGCATCCGCTTTGCTTCTATCTTCAGTGCCGAGTTTGACCAAAAACAGGTACGGAACATTATTCTTGTCCTTTTTGTCTTTGGAGTTTTTGCGCGTGCTGTGGAGGCCACCTCTCCCAGACCC